GTGGCACTCAATTACTGTCAAGAGCCACCTGAGAAGAAAGGCCTGGTGATCTACTTCTGAAAGATCACAGCCAGGAAAACCCTATGGAACAAAGGTCTACTCTCTGAGTCACCAGGAGTTGGAATGTACTCAAGGGTAACTGGCTTTTTCTTTCTTTTTTGGTTGGGGCAGCTTTCCTTGACAGCTGAGCTGGAAAGGATTAAACTGGTTGTGGCAGTTTGGGCGGCAGGGTGGGCTTTGCTGGAGATAAGCAAGTTCCAGGCTGCCCTTAGGCAGGCCTCAAAAGGCGTCCTTAGGATGGAAAGAAAGCTCCAATTAATACGAACTGACTTAAAGCATGCCTCCCCTGTATCAGGGCACCTCAGGGTACCCATTTAACCATCACTGCGACCCTATGAAGCTGATGTTTTATCATTCTCGTTATACTAACGTGGAAGACTGTGGCTTTGAACACTTGAATGGTTTAACCAAGGTTATGTAATTAGGAAGACATGGGGGCAGAATTCAAACCCGGGCTGCCCCATTCTGGAAGCTCTTGATGCAGCAGGGTTAAATATGCCACGAAGAACCCACGTTCCCGTAGCGGTAGCAAGAGAGAAGCATGGATAAAACTAAAAGCTTCGTTCTTCATGTTGGCGAAGTGCTGGGATTGTCCTTCCAAATCTCTGCCGAGGCTCAAATAACAGCACTTCCAAAACAGAGGAGTAGGAACCAACTTCCCTCTCTGCTTCTTGTGCTCGAGATCGTGGACTGAAAGACTGTACTCGTCTCATTTCCAATGCAGGACTTCCTGCCTTTCCCCACTCCGCCTCCGGTCCCCGACATTGAAATGTGGGAACTTCCCCAACACGTAGGGGTCAATCGGGGGCATCAAATCCAAAACAGGCGCGATGAAAGGAGCGCCGCAACCCCTACCTTCGCAGAACGTGCTCCTCCAGGGGCCGTCTGCTTGCAGTAAGAGCTCCAAAATTGGCAACCCAGGCCTCGCAGCCGCCTCTCTTTTGCCCACGTTCCCCAAAGCGAGAACAGGAGGGTGGTTAACAATGAAAATTGCAGCGGGGGCTTAAGTAGGCAGGCCCTTAAACGCCGGGCGTTGGGCAAAGGGAGACCCCCAGGACCTCAGGCGCCCAAGGCTACCGCCCCGGGGCGCGCAGAGGCGGGGAGGGGCCCTCCGGACTCTTTCCCAGCTTCCGCTGCCCAGGCTGCGGCAGCCGGACAATGCGCGGCCTCTTTTCCGCCGGGAGTTAGGGAGGGGACTTGGCCAGATTAGGACCCGCGCCTTCCGTCCGCAGCCCCCCTTCCGCGCCAGCCGGCCGCGCCGCACCGGCCACACTCAGGTGGTTTTCCGTTCGTCAAGGACCGGCCTGGACACTTTTATATAACAATAGCGCTTTGCGCGCCCGGAATGCGTCTCTCCGCCGCCGCGGCCCCCGCCCGGCGACGCCTCCATCCGGCTGCCCGCCTCGCCCCGCCCCGGAGTGCCCTGGGCCGGCTAGCTTCTGCTCTGCAAGTTACCTGCTGGCTTACCAGAGCGGTCGAGGCGTTCCCCAAGACTCCCTGTCCTCCTTGGGAGCCTGGGAGTCCCGGCCGGACTCCTTCGCGGCCCGCCCCCATCCCAGGCCGCGGCGGAAGCCCAAGACCAGGTCTCTGCTCCGCACGGGTCGCCAGCCAAGGCTGAGCTGGGAGGTTGGACAGCGGGCGGTCGCGAGAAACGCAGCGCGCAGGCGCGGGCAGTGCTCCGTGTGTGCCTGGCCAGGGGAGGTGGCGGTGGGCGGCCCAGGAAAGGGGGACTGCGCAGATGTGGGGGACAAAGCCATGCGGGGTGAGGACTGAGGCCAAGCGCAGGCAGTGAGGCTCCCCTCCAACTGGACTTATCTACAGTATCCAGTCGTCGAGCCCGCCAGCTGAGCCCCCGCAGCTTGTAAACTTTTCCAGAGAACTTACCTCTCGCCTCGCTGATGGCGGGCACGCCTGGCCCGGCCCAGCGCGCCTTAGTGCACCTCACCCAGGCAGTCCCGCCAGACCGGCTCCTCGGTCGGAAGCCCAGCTCACTGCCCAGAAATTATTAACGAGCGCAACCCCCCCGCCTGCGGTGGGGGGCTGTAGGGGCTTTACTTAGGGCCCCAGAACAATGGTTCCTAACGCCCCACGATGCCGAAGCAGAATAAAGCATCCGGTTGCCCAACGAGTTTGGTTATGCAGCCTTTATTGTTTTTTTTTAATAAAACTTTATAGAAAGCTTTTTTCTGCTTATTTGGACAAGCAGACGTTTGTTTGCTTGCTTGCTTTAAAATGTTTCAACCAAATCCTGCTTTGTTTCGAAAAACGTTGGATTAGCATTTAACACTTCATCGATCACTAAAGCCCAGGCAGTTCACCAGTCCCAACACCGCCTCAGCTAAAAGAACATCAAGCAAACAGAGCTGGGTTCTTTAAACTGGCAAATAAATGCCACACACCGTCTATAAGGAGGGCGGGGGGGGGGTGTCAAGGCGTTCTCCGTCCCAAATGAGTTTGAAGGGAAGAAGTCAGCCTAAGTTTTCCCTAAGCCACCTCGCGAACATTAAGCATCTCGAACAAGGGCTTTTGTGCCTGCTAATTGCACCATTTGTGCGCAAAAGTTCCAGTGCGAAGTGTCAACTCTCAACAAAAGGAAACCTGAGACAACTGGAGTGCCCTGGTTTATGTGCCCGCTCCTCCTCCACCGCCGCCGCCTCCTCTTTCTCCTTCCTCCCGCCGAGCCTGCTGTTGCAGCTTGTTTGCACTGGGGCTTATCCGGAGCGGAAATTCCTTTCCGTTTTTGTGAATGACAAACTCATTAACAATTCATCAACACAACCTGTTCCAGCCGGCCCGTCCCCACGGCAACAGCCACTTCCGCAGCGCGCTCATTGGCTGGCTCTGAGAATGTATCCATTGAGACGCTCGCTGTTTGTATCCATTGAGGAGCTGCCTAGCGCAGGGGTTGTGCGAAGACTGAGACCGAGGGACAGTGAGCAAATAGAGGCTCGAATAAGCCCAGGAGAAAGACACCCGGGTGGGTTTGAGGTGCAGCCTTGGAGGGAGGGATTAGGAGCCTCTGGACTTTTTTTCTTTCTCTCGGTTCAGTAGCACGGAGTCCGGAGTCCGGATTAATTGGATTTCATTCACTAGGGAGGGACAGAACTGTCTAGGCAGCTCCATTCAGAGAGATCCATTGACACCAAGAGCGGCAGCAGCACAGTGCAGAGGGAACCGCCGGCTTCCCTTCTGTCTCGCCCTCCCCAACCGCTAACCCGGTTTGGGAAAGGCGAGGCGGAATCAAACCCTGCTCCGGGAGCGGCAGGTTAGCTCGGCGCACTCGGCCTATGCCTGCCCCGAGGGGCGTCTGGTAGGCTCTCTCCTTCGCCCTCAGCTCGACCCTCATGATAGATAAGCTCAGACCCGTGCCCTTTGCGTCGGAAATGGCGATCAGCAAGACGGTGGCGTGGCTCAACGAGCAGCTGGAGCTGGGCAACGAGCGGTTGCTGCTGATGGACTGCCGGCCGCAGGAGCTGTACGAGTCGTCGCACATCGAGTCGGCCATCAACGTGGCCATCCCGGGCATCATGCTGCGGCGCCTGCAGAAAGGCAACCTGCCTGTGCGCGCGCTCTTCACGCGCGGCGAGGACCGGGACCGCTTTACCAGGCGCTGCGGCACCGATACCGTGGTGCTCTACGATGAGAGCAGCAGCGAGTGGAACGAGAACACGGGTGGCGAGTCGGTGCTCGGGCTCCTGCTCAAGAAGCTCAAGGATGAGGGCTGCCGGGCGTTCTACCTGGAAGGTATGTTCCCGAGGCTCCGCGCGTCAGGCCGGGCGGAAGGTGCAGGGTGCGGGACGCGCGGTCTGCACTTGTCCGTGCGGCGCTCGGCTGGGCTCCTCGGAGCGTCGCTGCTCGGCCAACTTCTCCGCCGCCCCGCCGGGGCCAGGAACCGCGCGCGTTCCGCACAGGGTAGCCGGTCCGGCGCAGAAGCTTCCGGCTGGAGGTGCGGGCAGTGTCTTTCGAACGAATTTTTTGGCTTTCTATGTTCAGCATCCTTCCTATTACTTCACTTTTTGTCGACAGATTTCGAACTAAGATTTGCAGAATCGGAGAGGTCGTTTGGGTGCAGATTGGTTGTTCTTTAAGATAGTCTGAAAAGTTGCCATTTTGTGCGTTTTCGGATCCAAGGGGGAAAAGGGACGGTCATTCGTTCCGATCCCGAGCGTGCATTCAAGTGTGTTTGTATTTTTTAATTTGGTGGTCTGTGCGTGAGGGGGGGGGATTGTCGACTGCGGCTCTCACAAGCTGTGAAAACTACTACGGGATCTCGGGTTACACTATTGCTTTTCTCATCTTGGCAGGTGGCTTCAGTAAGTTCCAAGCCGAGTTCGCCCTGCATTGCGAGACCAACCTAGACGGCTCGTGTAGCAGCAGCTCGCCGCCCTTGCCAGTGCTGGGACTCGGGGGCCTGCGGATCAGCTCCGACTCCTCCTCGGACATTGAGTCTGACATTGACCGAGACCCCAATAGTGCCACTGACTCGGATGGCAGTCCGCTGTCCAACAGCCAGCCTTCCTTCCCGGTAGAGATCTTGCCCTTCCTCTACCTGGGCTGTGCCAAGGACTCCACCAACCTGGACGTGTTGGAGGAGTTCGGCATCAAGTACATCTTGAATGTCACCCCCAACTTGCCGAATCTCTTTGAGAACGCAGGAGAGTTTAAATACAAGCAGATCCCTATCTCGGATCACTGGAGCCAAAACTTGTCCCAGTTTTTCCCTGAGGCCATTTCTTTCATAGGTGAGACTAATTAACGCTTGTCACTCTGACTTTTAAATGCAAATTTCCCAGCCACTCATAGAGTTAAAGCTTTTAATCGTTCTTGCTATTTGCTAATTTATCGTACTGCAGGTCTCTAATGTTCAGAAGGCAGTCTTAAAACTGGTTTATCGCCTTGCTAAGGCAAGTGCCTTTTGACATGGTTACAGACCAGGGAGGTCACTGAAATGCAATTTCTTCAATCTTTGAACTTAGTCATTAGAAAGGGGGAGAGGGTGAGGTTGTGATACCAAGACACCGGTTTGACAGTATAAGGGCTTAGAGGAACTCGCTGTTGACAAGGAATTTTAGCATTACTTTACAATTTTAAAAGACCTGGGAGTTATTTTAGGACGTCAAGTTAGTTGTTGGAAAGCCTTCGAATGCTAAATGTTGTCCAGTTGAGTGATATTGGTGATCCCGGTAACAGTAAGACAGTGCTGGTAATGTGAACCCAGCAGGAAGAACTGTAGGCTGGAAGCCTGGGAGAAGTGACTCTCCAGGCGTTGTAATGCATTTCCTATTACAAAGGAACTCATTTTCAGGCCATGTCGACATCCTGTTCCTCCTAATGGGCTGTCCCCTGTGACTTCCCTCTCTCTTTTAAAAATGCCTGAATACCTCCATTGTTAGCTACACAACAGTTGGAGAATAATTTAATAGACCCTGGCAGTCTGCTTGTCTGTATAAAAGGCATTCACAACCATATTGCAGGGTTTCTGGTATTCACATGCTGGGGCAAAGAATGCCCACATTAAGAAGTTTCTTGTTGGTAGAAACTTAATACAAAAGCTTCCTTTACAGAAAATATCTGAAATATGTAATTGTGCACTAGTGTACATGTTTTATCTCAATGATACATTTTCTGCTGCCTGCTGGGCTAAACTGCCACACACGATTTCTTTCTTTCTTTCTTTAATTAGTTCATTGTTTAGACTCATCATTCACAAAAGGTGGTTTTGGTCTACTGAAATCTCGCCTTTCTTTTCATGTGTTCACAGATGAAGCCCGGGGCAAAAACTGTGGTGTCTTGGTGCATTGCTTGGCTGGCATCAGCCGCTCGGTCACCGTGACTGTGGCTTACCTTATGCAGAAGCTTAATCTGTCGATGAACGATGCTTATGACATTGTCAAGATGAAGAAATCCAATATTTCTCCCAACTTCAACTTCATGGGCCAGTTGCTGGACTTCGAGAGGACACTGGGGCTGAGCAGCCCCTGTGACAACCGGGCCCCGGCTCAGCAGCTGTATTTCACCACTCCCTCCAACCAGAATGTCTACCAGGTGGACTCTCTACAATCCACGTGAAAGGGCCCCATACCCCTCCCTGATGGGTTGTGGCCATTCCTTCAGCAGTTTCCCTTGGCAGTATCAGCTGGGCTGCTTTGTTTGTGTGTGGCCCCCAGGGTCAAAATGACACCAGCTGTCTGTATCAGAAAAGGTTACCAAGTACGGAATTAGTTATTACGAAGTGAGAGATTTGCACCATTCCCTATGGAAGAACAGGACATGCATACAGGCAGTAGTTTTGCTCTGTACCCAGGTGTACAGCCTACCCATGCAGGGACTGGAATTCCAGAACTTCCAGGTATATAGGGTAGGACCAAGTGGTAGGGTAGGAGCATGTGTTCTTAAGGCCTTCTATGGCTGTTTCCTTTGCATCTGGAACTGACTATATATTGTCTTCAGTGAAGACTGATTCAATTTGCATATAAAGGAGCCAAAGAGAGGTTTCAGCTCTGTATTTGTGGAATCGGTTTGGGGGGAGGAAAAAAAAAAAAAAAAAAAACACCTGATATTACATTTGATTATTGTAAATATTTGATCTGAAATTACTCGACAGTGTTTGAATTGTGTTTGTTTTTTCCTTGATGGGTTTATAAGAAATCATCCAAAGGGAGAAAGAGCAGTATACCACTTAAAATGAAATAGAAAAGTTTGCTCTTTTCCAATCCAAAGGGTGTATTTGTAGCATGCTCAACTTTACCAGCTCTGAGTGACATTTTCATGGACAATATTACCACTAAAACCTTGTTATGGTGCAGTCTTTAGTCTTTTATGTATCTTCCTTGTGATTTTTTCCGTCTTAATGTAGTTTGACTATGCCTTACTTTTGTAAATATTTTGGCTTGTCTTGTCTCAAAGTGGATATCTTGGAAAGACGCCAAAATCATGGGCTTGCTTTTTTTTTTTTAAACTTCAGCTGTGCTATACAGCATATTACCTCTGTACAAAATTCTTCAGGGAGTGTCACCTCAAATGCAATACTTTGAGTTGGTTTCTTTCCTTTTCTTAAAAAAAAATTGTATGAAACTGGAAGTGTGTGTGTGCGCACGGGTACCCACTTGGTAAGTGAAATGCATATGATTGTGAAGAAGGGAGAGTTAAATTGCTCCATTATGTTCATGATGTAAAGTTTTGAGCTGGAATTTATTATAAGAATGTAAAACCTTAAATTATTAATAAATAACTATTTTGTCTATCGAATGTGTATTTTTAAAAAATCTTTCCTTAGTGATGCTGACTGTGAAGTAATATATTTTAATAGGGCAAGTTTTTAGTAAGGGACCAACATGAGCTTGTTAAGTTGTACAAGGCAACAGGTCCAAGTTCTGATTTTTTTAAGCTATTCCTAGTGTGCCTTTCCGGTGCACTTAAAAAATTAATCTTTTGCTTCAAATAAAGATGGTGCCATAGAATGGTCTTACTATATCCATGTGTATGGAGGATACTTTTGGTGAATAGAGTTTCAGCTTGTTCATGAAAATTATAACCCATACCTCAATGCTGTTGGAGTTGATTACAACTCGTAATGACCTATAGGCTTTCCAAGGCTGTAAACGTCATGAAGGCTGCCACGTCTTTCTCCTACAGAATGGCTTAAAACTGCTGACCTTTTTGGTTACCAGCCAAGCACTTAAGCACTGCACCACCATGAAGATTACAGTGATGCCAAAAAAAAAAAAAAACCAAAAAACCATAATGTATACTTTACTAAAGTGTAAGACTGTTCATGAATAGGAATAATAAAGGGGTACCAGAATGGCAAGGAATTCTGGGTGACACAAGCAGTTCAGGGGGTAGTGTAAGAGTTGGCCTGGCAGTCGGCACACAAGAGGTCACAGCCTTGAAAAACCCTACTTTGCAAATGTGGGATCACCATGAGTTGGAACTGACAGCAACTAACAACTGCAACTAGATAATTCTTGTCAGTCTTCCAAAAGATCCTTAGAAATGCCAGGGGAAGTGGGGATTACTCTTTTCTCCTGTCTGTTTTCACGATCTAGCAGTTCTACCTATAAGTTATCTAGTGTTCAAATAATGAATCTCAAGTGGTGTCTTTCTCTCCCCTGTGATCCCCATGTAAGGTATTTAAGCTTTCTTGCTGAGCCTGCATGAGGCTTTAGAATTCAATCCATCCACATTTACACTTCAGGGGAGACTTTTACCAGCCTGTTACAATGTGGTCTGTGCTTAGCTAGTGTAGAATGTGACCTGAATGCCTATTGAGTCTTACGTAAAGGCTTTTTGAACAGCTCCTTTTAAGATAAAAGTATACTATCTTGTGATTTTTTTCCCTTGGAACCTCCCCTTTTCCTTGCCCCATGTACATAAGTATGCAAACCAAAATAAAAGTAAAGGGCATGTGTATGGAGTCAAAATTTAACTACAGCATACTTCACCTACAGTGTGGGCCTTTCAACAAGGAAACTTCATCTGAGACACAAAACTTTTTATCCACATGGCACATTTAGGGTATTGACAGGATTGCTAGGTAAGCTACATTTTAAGAGGAAAGTGGCCCTCATGCTGCAAACTGTCCGGTATCCAACTGTCCATTGTGATGTTTAGCAACTAAATATGTACAAGGAGCCCTGGTGGTGCAGTGGTTAAGCGCTTGGCTGCTAGATTGGTGGTTGAAACCAGCTGCTGCACACAAGAAAAGACCTGGCTATCTGCTTTCATAAAGATTACAGCCTAGGAAACTGTATGGAGCAGTTCTACTGTCCTGTAGGGTTGCTGTGAGGCAGAATTGACTCTATGGCAATGGGTTTGGTTTGGTTTTGGTTTGTTGTTGTTGTTGTTGTTATTTGCCGTCAAGTCGCCCCCGACTAAGTATGTATAAAAGGCAAACACATAGTGCCAAAAAATACCAAGTCAGTCTCTCCTATTTAGGTGCCCCAAGTCAGCAGGAACTCAGAAAGGAGAAGTGGGTTGCAGTTCAACTTGGCTGGTGTTAATCCAGTGCTGACCGGTTTCCGCTCCTGGCATTCCCTAAACTGCCTGTTCAAAGTAGGGATTTGCAAGCAGTGTTAGCGATTTCCTGTCCAGCTGCAGCTCAAGTAGCTGCGTGCTTTTTTCCCCTTTCTTTTCTCTTTCTTTCTTCTTTTTCTCAAAATACGGACTGTGGATAATTTTAGCGTGTTTCCTCTTTGTGGATTATCATCTCCTTTCCTCCTCGAACCTGCACACATTGAGCTCCTGCTGCTGGGCTCAGGCGGACAGCTGGCCTCCTCAGCACTTCCTCTCGTTTCAGTGTGGGTTTGTTGTTTGTCAGTCCACTTCTGAAATTAATAATGTTTTCTGGCGAAGTGCCATAAGCCATTACCACAAAGGGGAAGTAACACATATGAATAGCAGGAAGCCATGCAGGGTCACAGTGTGAGCTGAACCTGTGGAGGGAGCATAATTGAGGCTGGCCCATTCAGCAAGTGTCTGACTGCGATTTGGGGAGAGAGAGCTTGCTGCATTTAAGCAGATCAAGCTGTGGCAAAAAAGAAAGTTTCCAATAAATTGGTAGAAAATGGTCTTTGTCACCAGCTGAATAAAGGAGAAGGAGCAAGAAGAGTTTGGGGCCCCCATAAAATTGCAATGTTTGAGGTTTCTCTCCCCCCCTCCTGGCATATTGTTTCATAAAGCTGGTGAACAGAGGGGTGCCTGCTTCCCTCCATTCTGACAAAAGATCTCATGTTAAATGGGTGGTTTTTACCATTCACATAGGCGAGAAGATTCAAAGAGCTGTTCTCTTCTACGTAAGGTGGAAGGTTGTAACTGACAGCGTGGGCCCCGCCTCATCCTGAGCCTCCCTTTCTCCTGGTCATTCCCCTGCTCCTCTGGTTCCTTTGTGCTTGCAGAAGCTGCGTGAAGATCATTTTGCATCTCGGAGTTGGGCTCCCCTTCTGAATGGAGCCTGAACGGTTACTAGGGCAACCTTTGCCAGCAGCTGCAGCTCCCCGGCCTCCCTCCTCACCTGCTGTCCCCATTAGTGGCTTCCTCAGGTCTCTGAAAGTGTTACCTTTCCTGCACTTCTGCAGGAAGTTGGAGAGCTTTCAGCAGAAGAGGTTATCTGCTGGTTTGGTGCGGGGGTGGGGGAGCATAGGGCTTAGGGAATGCAATGATTAGCGGTATGAATAGGCTTTAGGATTAAAATTGGAACTGGAAAATACAATCTGAAATACCAACACAGCCTTTAAAGGAGTAAAAATGGAGACTTGCCCTGACTCTGCAATTAGGAGAACTTAACTCTAACTCCTGCTCTCTCACTAATGAATTGGGTGGCCCTGGGCAAAGCACCAACCTTACTGACTTTCTTTTTTTTCTTATCTGCAAAATGAGAGAGTATTTACCTCTCATTCTAAGACTCTTACAATTCCAGGCTTCTGGTCAGGGAATGGGGTCACTGGGTGGTGTAAATGATTAAGCGTTTGACTTCTTTCTGAAAGGTCGATGGTTTGAGCAGTCACATTGATCTGCTTCTGAAAGGTCACAACCTTGAAAAACTAGGGAGTGCAAGTCTACTCTGCACACGTGGGCTTGCCATGAATCAGAAGGAGTTTTAAAGCAACTTACTGGTTAGGTTTTGTTTGGTTATGGGTTAGTGATTCTTAGGAAATGATAAAAAATACAAGGTAGGTAAAATCTAATAACTAACATTTGTGTTTATTTATGGTGATTTGGGTGAAAGTTTGGAGTCAGTTGGTTTTCCGTTCAACAATTCATACACAGTGGGGTTTTGTTTGTTTGTTTTGTTTTTGTAGAGACATTGATTGCAATCCCCACAACGTAACATCACTCTTCCCACTTCCTCCCTGTATTTGCCATTTCCTTCTGTCCTTTATTCCTATCCCTTCCTGCCTCCTTAGCTTTATCCCTGGGCAAATGCTGTCTTTTTGATCTTGCGGGGTTGATTGTTCTAATGACTGCATACCTCCCTGGTATTATTGCTCACCTTATAGGATTCTTTGGCTGAAAGTTGAGCCATGGAGAGACAACAGCTAGTATACTTCAGGTATGATATAATCTCATTTAATTCTCAAAACATCTCTGTGAGGTAGGCCCTGATATTATCCTTATTTTCCAATGAGGAAACTGGCAGAGGCCAGTATCTTTCCTAACATCATCTAAATGGAAAGTGGTAAAACTAGCTTTGTTTGAACCCAGGTGTTCTGGATTCTGAGCATGAACTGCTAATCATTGACAGGGAAGAAAATCCAAACCTCTCATGTTTGGATGCTTTTAGTTCTTCCTGTTGTAAACTGCTTGTCATCATTATTTGAGCCTCTTTATAAAACCCCGTGATGTTGGCTAGGAAGTGGTGACTCCATTTTGCAGCTGAGGAAGTAGAGGAAGTAGAGGTTAAATGACCTGCCAAGCAAACCCAAATTCGGCAGCGAAATCGGGGGTGGGGGGCAGCTGGTATACCGCCAGAGGTTTGTCCTCCATCAGGAAGCTTCCATCCTCCTTCTCCAGTGAGAGGTTGCCCTGTCTTGGTCCCACTGGCACATACATTACAGAACTGTTTTTCCTAAGGATCTCTATAGCAGCTGTCCCACCTACCCCTGCCCTCACCTAAACAAACTCCCCTTGTACCAGAGAATTTCACTTCCTCACTCTGCTCCCTCTTTAAAGTGGCAGGGGGTGGGGAAAGAGACACAAGGTGAATGTCTGCAGCATAAGTAAGGTAAACAGGTTAGCAAAGTAACCACTAATGGGAGGAAGAGGGAAAACACAGCAAGGGCAGATCATGTGGTAGCTGGTTGTAATTAAATATTCTTGAAAAGTCTTCTAAAAAGAGTCAGTCTTCAGACCTTAAAGTGCTTCAAGAGCATTATTTTTGATGTAAATTTATATGCAGTTCCTAACACAGCCCTAATCACTTTTCAAAAGGTCCTCCAAGACTTTCATATACCCTTACTCACCTTGTGTTCTTATTGCTAATTTAACAATTGGTCCTAAGTCAGTCCAATTTTGGTGAATTTAGCTTCTGTAAAGTCCAAAATTGATTTCCTAAGAGTATTTAAGGGCATGAAACAAAGTTCAAAAAATTCACAAATATTTATCCAGGCCGCAATGTGCATTGTACTAGTTCAATGAAACAAGGTTAAAATAAAAGGCAACTGAATACTAGAACCAAAACCCCAGAACCAAACTCCCTGCCATGGAGACAATTGTGACTCATAGAAGACTAGACAGAACAAGGCAA